CGTGCGCAATGATGCCAACGGGAACCCTGTAAACACTTTTGGCGTAAATGGGGTACTGCGCAACTATTTTGAAGGCAATTTCTATAACGCAACGTTCGATAGTGCCAGGCGTATGATGCTGGTCTGGTATCAATATGCGCCGCAGACCAACTTGCTGGGTTTTACCCGGTTTACGAACATGGGCATCCCGGATACCAGCTTCGGCAGCGGAGCCGGCACTGTTATATCCGAGCCCATCCCTAATGATGTACTGCCCAACAGGCCGGCCGTACGCAGTGTGTCATTCAGCGCAGACTTCGGCCGGTTTTATATTTTATCGCGGCGTACCGCTATGGTTTATGCCCTGTTCCGCTACCGCTTTGTAAATAAGGGAGTGCCGCCACAAAGCGTAGCAGCGGTCCGGAAGCTGTCAGCCGTTATATACCCTAATCCCGCGTCAGACGTGCTGCACCTGAAAATGACGGATGCCGGCGCTATCCGGGATTATACGCTGGAAAGCATGACCGGGCAAAGCGTAAGACGCGCATCGGGATTGAACAGCAGGGACGTGTCTGTAAATGTGACCGGTCTGGCAGCCGGCCAGTATCTGTTGCGGGCAGCTTCGGCAGATGGCGCCCTGTTAAGGCAGCTGGTGACCATACAGTAAGCAAGCAATAAACGACAAAGACTTCCGCAGCCCGCTGCGGAAGTCTTTGTCGTGTCACCCGGAAGAGAAGGCTAGCGATGTTTCTGAATCTTCTGTTCCAGCACTTTCCGCGGCACCAACCCTATCTGCCGGTCCACAACGACCCCGTTTTTAATAAACAACACAGCCGGTATGCTGGTCACCCCATAGTTGACCGATACCTCCGGATTTTCGTCCAGGTTTACCTTTCCTACCTGCACATCACCGGTATAGGTTATTGCCAGTTCTTCAATCGTGGGGCCCAGCGCCAGGCAGGGACCGCACCAGGGCGCCCAGAAGTCTACTACGGTAAGTTTGTCGGAAGCTAAAACATTCGATTGAAAATTGGCATCTGTGAATACTGCTGACATTTTAATTGATTTTAAGGATGATTGATTCTCCTATGAATACCGGAACCTCCGTTCTGATCACCCGCCTGTTTTAAACGCGTACCATATTTTCTGGCCTGCAACAGGCATTTATATTTTTGATTGTCGAAGCTGTGTGTATTCTTGTAGCCCAATTCTTCGATCAGCTGATCCCGCCTGGTTTCTTCCAGGAATGTTTTTATCAGCAGCAATTGGCAATGGCTCGTCACGGAACTGAATATCTGTTGCAGTAAGCCGGTCTGTTCGGAGGCTGCCTCTTGTTGTTCGAAGCTGGTCAGGCTGGTATCAGGCACGTCTGTATCGATGGTATCTTCCATTTTCCGGACCGCGCGTAGTTTCTTGAGCCAGATGTTGGCGGCAATGGCAAATAAATAAGTTTTCAGGGAAGAGGTCAGCTGGAAATTTTCTTTAGGAAGATTATCCATCAGCGCCAGCATGGTTTCCTGGAACACGTCCCGGGCATCATCATCGGTGCCGCTGTTCTGCAGCACATAACGTTTTACCATCGGGAAGTAACCGGCATAGATCAATTCGTAAGCAGTATTTTCCTGCTTTTTCAGATCGGTTATGAGCTGGCAATCATTCATAGTTTTCATGGCTTAATACCGCGGATGATCATTGGATCACCCATGAACAGCAGATAAAATTAAGCGACAAAAAGCCTTGCCTGCTTATAGCTGTATTGGGAAGTATTATTTTTCATAAATGAGTGGTTGGCAGAAGGTCTGATGGATCCGATAGGCAAATACCCGGTTTTGGGTAATTATGTAGCATATTGGCAAACTGCATAATGAAAAAATAATACATTACATAAATTTTTTGTCATTTTTTTTTGTCTAACTATACGGCAGAATGATAGTTCGAAAAGCGAAAATGTTATGAAAAAAGCAGTATTCTGCTGGAGTGGAGGAAAGGATTCTGCCCTGGCCCTATACCGCATACAACAAGCGGGCGAGTATGAAGTTACAGCCTTACTAACCACCCTGAGCAGTACCTACGAGCGTGTATCCATGCATGGTATCGAAGAGGCGCTGCTGGATATACAGGCGGAAGCTATTGGGCTGCCGCTAACT